CCTTCCCTTCAGTCTTGCACAGTTGTACCGGCTCCTCTCCTGATTACTCTGATTTCACTGCACACTGTGAGCTTCTGACAACGTGCATTAGAAGCTGCAGCAAGTCAGATAGAGCCCACCTCATTTCCTGGCTGGCAGACATCCAGCATCTTCTAGCACTTTCAATCCTAGCCTGATTGTCCCTGGTTTGCCCCTTTTATGTATTGGATTTCAGTTCTTTCAATCATGGTGCTTTAGCAGCACATGTGGGCAGGGACGGATTTACTCTCTCTGCTGCCCCAAGGCCAGGTTTCTCAATGTGCCTCCCTAACCGCCAACCCCACCCCCCCATAGAGAATGGCAGACCTGCAGGCTGCATACAAGTGATCTCGGCGACATCACATGTACAAAACAAGCGACGGCTTCCCCGCCGTACATATACATACATACATATATATATACATATACATACATATATACACATATACATATATACATACACACACACAGTATACATACAGTATATATATATATATTATACACACACACACTATATTGCCATAAGTATTGGGACACCCCCTCCAAATCATTGGATTCAGGTGTTCAATCCCCTCCATGGCCACATTTGTATAAAAATCAAGCACCTAGGCATGCAAACGCTTCTACAAACATTTGTGAAAGCATGGGTCGCTCTCACGAGCTCAGTGAATTCAAGCGTGGTACCGTGATAGACTTATTGCACAGGTGGCAACCTATCAGTGAAATTTCCTTGCTATTAAATATTCCACGGTCACCTGTTACCTGTTAGTGGTATTATGACAAAGTGGAAGCAACTGGGAACAACAGCAACTCAGCCACAAAGTGGTAGGCAACGTAAAATGACAGAGCGGGGTCAGCGCATACTGAAGTGCACAGTGTGCAGAAGTCGTCAATAGCTACAAACCTCCAAACTTCAGATTGGCACAACAACAATGCGTAGAGAGCTTCATGGAATGGGTGTCCATGGCTGAGCAGCTACATCCAAGCCTTACATTACCAAGTGCAATGCAAAGCGTCGGAAGCAGTGGTGTAAAGCACGCCGCCACTGGACTCTAGAGAAGTGGAAACGTGTTCTCTGGAGTGACGAATCACGCTTCTCTGTCTGGGAATCCGATGGACGTGTCTGGGTTTGGTGGTTGCCAGGTGAACAGTACTTACCTGACTGCAATGTGCCAAGTGTAAAGTTTGGTAGAGGGGGGATTATGGTGTGGGGTTGTTTTCAGGGGTTTGGCTTGGCCCCTTAGTTCCAGTGAAGGGAACTCTTAAGGCATCATCATACCAAGACATGTTGGTCAATTTCATGCTCCCAACTTTGTGGAAACAGTTTGGGGATGGCCCCTTCCTGTTCCAACATGAATGTGCACCAGTGCACAAAGAAAGGTCCATAAACACATGGATGAGCGAGTTTGGGGTGGAGGAACTTGACTGACCTGCAAAGAGTTCTGACCTCAACCCGATAGAACACCTTTGTGATGAATTCGAGCGGAGACTGCGAGTCAGGCCTTCCAGTCCAACATCAGTACCTGACGCAACAAATGCGCTTCTGGAAGAATGGTCAAACATTCCCATAGACACACTCCTAAACCTTGTGAACAGCCTTCCCAGAAGAGTTAAAGCTGTTATAGCAGCAACGAGTGGGCCAACTCAATATTAAACCCTACGGGCTAAGACTGGGATGCCATTAAATTTCATATGCGTGTAAAGGCAGGCGTCCCAATACTTTTGGTAATATATTGTGTGTATATATATATATATATCCCTTCTAAATTGTCTAAGCATCTCATTCCTCCACATAACACTTCTGGGGCTTGCTGACAGATGGCTTAGGCACTAGACAATTCAGGGCTGGACAAATCCCAGGAGCCACGTAACCAATGCTCCTTAAAATATACAGCGGGTGCCTTGAGGTTTTCTCTAGTTGTCGTCAATAAAGCGGACTCCTAAAAAATCCTGCTGGCTCCTGGATTGGACAAACTTTGTCCACCGCTGGCCTAATCTACACTATATGGAAATCAAGACATTTCAGGAGTGCTCCATAAACTGCTGAAGGGACAAAATTTGAAGAAAATTGTATGTGCTGCAAGCTTAAACAGTCAGCTGTTGGCTCAGTAGCTTTTATGTTACCATCAAGGAGGTGAGGAGATTGAGGGGGGATATGATCTCCATGTACAAAATGTTCAATGGTGGCAGCAACATTAGCGATAAACTGTTTAAAATTAACTCCATTACAAAAACTAGAGGCCACCACCTAAAATTGGTGGAAAAAAAATTCCAGCACAAGGGGCGAAGGGGGTTCTTCACAGTAAGATCAGTTAGGGTCTGGAACTCACTGCCACAGACAGTGATTTCAGCAAAGAATGTGGAATTGTTCAAGAAACTTTTGGACGATTTCTTAAGGGACCGTAATATACAGGGGTACAGGTACTCCTAGAATGAGATCCTAATAGGTTGGACTTGATGGACTAATGTCTTTATTCAACCTCAAATACTATGTAACTATCAGTTATCTTTAAATGTATATAAAAAGAATAGCAGATAAGTGAATTTTGCCAAGGATTATTAAACTT